AATAATGCATAATATGGCCGAGACCGCTGCGCCCGGCAGAGTGGGCCCAGCTAAAATGGAGTTGTATGAAGTACATAATCAGATATTCCAAAGCTTCAACGAATTCACCACATGCTCCGAGAGTCTGAAAGTCTTGGTGCAGAACTATCGCTATATGCTAAACGCACCCAATTCGCCCGATGCGGAACGTCTGTTCAAGAGTTTGATTGAGGACAAGGCCGCCCTGGTGGCCAGGCTGCGACGCAGCTTTATGTTCTACGATCAACTGCAGGATATGGTCATAACGGAGCTTAAGAACTGGCGGCGCCAACAGGCTCTAGCCGGGAACGGAGCACAGTTTAGTGAGAATATGCTGGATGATATACAGCGGTGCTTTGAGCTGCTGGAATCTTTTGTCACCCATTTGCTGACGGCTGTCAAGGAGACGCTTCTGGTGCGCATCGTAAACGATGATCCCGATCTGAACTGTCTGCTCGAACAGGTGCAGGTGGCACAAAAGAATCTAGTGTGCTCCGCTTTCATTGTGGACAAACAGCCGCCGCAGGTAATGAAGACAAACACACGCTTTGCGGCCTCAGTGCGTTGGTTGCTTGGATCCCAGCTGGGAATACACATGAATCCGCCCACAGTCGAGTGTATTATAATGTCTGGTAAGTGGATTTCTTTCCCTGCAATCACATCTCAATTAACGCAATTGTTTGCGCTTTACCTTTGCAGAGTTGCAGGCACAGCGCTTTGTGACGCGCGGCACACATATGGATGTGACCAATGGCAGCCTCGCTGGACAGTCGTCGGGCGAGATTCAAAACTGCTCCAGCACCATGGAGTATCAGCAGAGCAGTCATGTATTCTCCGCGAGCTTCAGAAACATGCAGCTCAAGAAAATTAAGCGCGCCGAGAAGAAGGGCACCGAAAGCGTCATGGATGAAAAGTTTGCATTGTTCTTCTATGCGACCACAACAGTGAATGATTATCAGATTCGCGTCTGGACACTGTCGCTGCCGGTGGTGGTTATTGTTCATGGCAACCAGGAGCCGCAATCGTGGGCCACCATTACTTGGGACAATGCATTCGCAGATATTGTGCGTGATCCGTTCGTGGTCACAGATCGCGTCACTTGGCGTCAGTTGTCAGTCGCACTCAACACCAAATTCGGCTCCTGCACACAGCGCGCCCTGACAGCGGAGAACTTGGAGTTTTTATGTAGGTTAAACGAAAGTCAACTTTTCATACTTTCACTTAATAATACATTCATATCTTTATCTACTCAGTCGAGAAGCTGCAGCGTGATAATATTGCCGGCGAGCGCAATGAGTATATTTCATGGAATCAATTTTGTAAGGAGCCACTGCCGGATCGTACTTTCACTTTCTGGGAATGGTTCTTTGCCATAATGAAGCTGACCAAAGACCACTTGTTATCCATGTGGAAAGCCGGCCGCATTACGGGCTTCATCAACAAGGCCAAGGCACACGACGATCTCTTGCGCGCCGTTACTGGTATTGGCACATTTCTGTTGCGTTTCTCCGATAGTGAATTGGGTTCGTATATTCAATTTAGTTGGTTAAGAATGCTTTCTTAATAGATTTGTATATTCATGTCGTTTGGTTAGGTGGTGTTACCATTGCCTATGTGAACGCTTGTGGATCGGTGACAATGCTTTCGCCATGGACTGCACGGGATTTCCAAATACTCAATTTGGCTGATCGTATACGCGATCTGGATATGCTGCGTTGCCTGCACCCGACCGACGTCAATGTGCAACCATTGGATCGCGATCTCGCTTTTGGCGACTTTTATACACAGCGCGCTGGTACGGCTGCAGGCCAAGAAAATTCCAATTAAATTGTTTATTAAAGGAATGCCTAAAGAGTTGATATTGTTTGACAATAGACGATCATTGAGAATGTTTCATAACAAGATGTGTTAATTAGTTTGTTTACTTCTTTCTAAATTTGTAATGCCAAGTGTGATGTCAAACAAATCAACTTGGGTATCCTTCGAAGCACTCACACACATTAACAATTGACACCTCTTTTTAATCTGCACAGAACCAACGCCCCGCGTCGATGGATATGTTCCCAGCACGATACGCGTGCAGGTGCGTACCAGTGGGGATACGGGCTCCATCAGTGGCACGCCCCATCACCCAATGCAGTCACCGCCCCAGGATAGCATGTCTATGGGAAAGTAAGTTTTGCATGGTCGCTCTCATTCTAACATCTAGCGTCTCTTTGGCTGACTTTTTGTATTGTTTATTTACAATTTTTTTTTATATTTATTTATTTATATATTTTTTTTAATATATTGTTTTGTTTCTTACTTCTATTTATTCTGGGTAGTGCACCCTAACCCAAATTCAAAGCAAACCCCGCAAATCGGGCTTTAGTTTCTTTGCAGTCCCAACTGCATTTTAATTCCTAATTTATTTTATTTAGCCTCTACCTATTTCCAAGAGTTTAATTAGATTGCAATACTTTGAAATTGAGAGGGGAAATATAAACAAAATAAAGCGATATCAAAACTATTTAACAAGTCCACTGAATTAGAAAACTGATCGCGGGCGTTTATTGTTTATGTTTTTTTTTTGGTATATTTATTTAAGATATTTTAATATTTTGATTATTTTAATTATATTAACAATAAAGTGAAAAAGAATTGTGCAACTCAGTGTGGTTAAATACTATCTTACTTACTCTACTCTTTGTTTATTTTCATTTTCTACTTTTATGCGTTTTTGATTTGTTGTGCAAACACTCGGTGTTGTGGTGCCGTGCCTATCCAGTTATTCTCCGCGTAGTGGCATGTCCTGTAATCCATCGAGCGTCGCAACCACATCCTATTACAAGGATGATTCTGATTCAGATGATAGCACTGTGGCGCAGGCGCTCGAGAATTATGTCAACAATACAGCGCCAGACGATCCCATACTGGATCAGATAAGTCACACCATATACAATGTGTGCGCCAATGGGCAAGAAGCGCAGTGGATGATGGCTACCAAATCAACATATGCCGTGCCATCGCCCTATAATCAAACGGTGCAATACTAAGATCATAACGTAAATTCGAATCGCAGGCTAGTTTGGGTGGTGCTTCTTACCGAAAGGTATTGTTTGATACCTACATATCTATCAATATATTTATGTACCAATCGCAATCGCAATCGCATTAATATCACCTAGCAAAACGAGATAAACAAATCAGTCCAACAGTTCGATTCAAATTCTCATCATTCGTTTGTTTGTTGTATGTTTACGGTTCTGTCCATTCTGGTCGCTCAAAAGTGTATAAACAATAAATTAAATCCATTCATCACTGCACGCCCACTCGTCACTCGCCACTTGCTACTTGCCACTTGCCACATGCAACTTGCAACATTCGCCAAATTGTCACATTCATTTGAAATGCCCGCTGTCCCTGCCCTTTTACTAACTCTCAAGCATAGGGCGCTCGAATCTAAAATCACATATACAAACGGAAAAAAAAAATGGTTTTGTTTGCCCTAATTGTACTTCAAAGTATTGCCATCTTATTAAGCTTTTCAGTCAGCAGCCATATATATCCAATATACAATTCTATATATACTACTAAATTGATATCTAATGTAACTAAATTCTAACTTTTGATATAATCGCAGCTTACAGAATAGCACCATCATGCATTTGTAAATGCCAAAAGAACATCCACTGCAATGAATACAATAATAGACAACAATTGCAAGCAACTGCTTTTTGAGGCTTCTTTGGATTTACATACCACACCTCTCTCTCTCTCTCTCTCTCTCTCTCTCTCTCTCTCTAACTATATATATAAACAATAAACAAGTTGATTGCATGTATATTTTTCCATTTGATATGCCTCTTTATTATGTTTGTTCGTAATTGTTGTTACCATCACTTGATGAAACTTGATGTTATTGTTGTTAATGTTACTAAATTGGTAGCACGAGAATCGATTGCCTTAGATGTAGGCGGGGGGCTCCATTTCTGTAGATTCGAAACTGTTTAATCATACACCTTTTGTCACATTTCTTTATTCTTATTCACTAAATACATTATTCTAATATCATTTTCTGATTCATTCACATGATTCACGCATACTTATAAATACATTTTTTTTTTTTGCCTAACTCATGCGACTGCTTCTTTCCTTGCATCGATTTATTTGTTTTATTAATTTTGATTTTCTATTTTTCTATTTCATTCAATTTTAGTGGTAGTGATTTTCCCATGACGGACTTTGATACGATGCAGAATTTTGATGTGTATAAACTATAAACCTATTCAAAGCATACGAAATATTTATATAT